GGCGAATCACCGCTCCTGGACCGGCCACACCAACCTCTCCCACCAGCGTCTCACCAGCGACTGCGCCTGGGCTGCCTCAGCAGCCATCTGCCCAGCCTCCACCTTCGGCGTCCTCCAGTCCAACCATGGAGCTCTCCGACGTGCCTCCCGCGAGCCGTGTTGCGCTCCATCCATCTGCTGCACCCCTGCCATCACCACCAGCGCCTTCGGCCTTACCTGTGGAGGACACGTCTCCTGCCCCTCCACCTGTAACACCTGTTCCGTCCTTGCGAGCACCTGGGGGTTCCGTGAGCCCTCAATCAACGAAGTCGAAACCCCCCGCACAGGACATTGAAATGACCGCCATCAAAGAGTCCTCCGCTTCTTCTACATCATCAACCAGGAAATCTACGAGGGATGACCTCCAGGCGTACATCCGGAAAATCCCCACCGTGTCCTTTGCTGGGACGAAAGCTCTTGGTCTTGGGCGGGAGGAGGTCTTAGACCTCCTCTCCTCGAAGACCAGGGCCCATAAGCGCGGACCCCTCCTGACACCTCCGCAGAGCAATGCTCTCGCCGGTGCAATTAACCAACTCCTTGACCTGAGGCCCGAAGGCAATTCCAACATCTATAAAGTTCTACATCAGGTCAAGGCGGAGCTGAAAACCTCACCAGCCGCAGTGCCTCCAACACCCCCACTGCCTGCGACTCGGCCTGCCGAGCCCACACCACCCGCTCTCCACGGGGAAAGGACGTCGCCGGACATCGCGACACCTCCACCTCCTCTGTCTACCCAATTCATAGATGCCTGCTACGACCAGGCAGGCGATATTATATATGCGTTGAGCCGTGTGCGCTTCTCGGAGCCCTTATCCAACATAGGAGTCGCAGAGGGTGACATCGTGAAGGCGATTATTTTCCCCGTGGATAGGGAACCTCTCCTCAGGCGCCTCTTCACTCAGAAGAGAACCACTCTTGCCGAGGTCATCAGCGCTGCATCTGAATGCGCTCGGAACTCAGATCCCTTTGTGCGTGAGGGCCTACGCATACTCAGCGAAATGCTCCCCTCCCCACTAATCTGTAAATTTTCCCATTAACTCTTGATTGAGTGTAATTATTGACTAGATCGTCAATAAAGTCTGTTTTAATTGTCCACTTTGTAATAATACTATGTAAAAAGTGTAGACATTTATAATACAATATAATGTGGCTTATGATTGTAGAACGAAATTTGACAATTATACCGCAAATGTTTCTTTTGAACGGAGAATCGAAATTTATTTTAAGGAGAAATAACGATTATTTCTAACCTTAGGGATGAAGTATGATAGGCTGAATTGTGAAGAGTAATGATAAACGGAAAAAATAAAATCTTTCTATCTATATATATATATATATATGAATGTATGTGTGTGTGTCTGTCCTTTATGCCTGACCAAACCACTCATTGGAACGCCATTAAAATTTGGGAAGTTATTTAGTATAGTACTGGGAAGGTTTCTGAAAAATAATTTCTTGAATATCTTGAATTTTTTTATATATAATTTTTATATATTAATTATATAAATTGAAGTTAATTAATACAAATTTACCTATACCGGTGATAATTTGCGGCGATTTCAATGCCAGAGCTCCGTTATGGTATGATATCAGGAAAAATTATAATGGACATAGACTGATCCCTATCATAGATGAAATAAACTTAATTATCCATAATAATAAAACTTTCACGTGTCGTGATGCAAGTGTGATTGATCTCACACTAACAAATAAACAGGCAATTGCGGCGATCAGAAATTGGAAGACACAGCAGATATCGCAAATTTCAGATCATGTAGCTATATCTTTTGAAATATATACAAACGAACAATTTAGTTCAGAAAAATATTATTCCACTTGGAAATTTAATGAGAAAAATGCGAACTGGTTAAGTTTTAGTCAGAGAATTAACAGTACTGAACGAGAAAAAATTGAAAACTTACTAGACATAGTGGATACACCAGAAATGATTGATCAAACGGTAAAAGAACTTGCGAACATACTGATTGAGGCAGCACATAATTCACTTAAAGTAAATAATAATATGACAACAAAAAATAATATTAGTAATAAGTGGTGGAATACGAATTTACAGCTTCTAAAGGATCACTGTCATTATCTTAGAAACGGTTACTATAGAAACAAAAATGGCCCTAATCATATTAAACAATACTATAAAAGCATACGAAATAAGTATTTACGGGAAATAGAAAAAGCTAGGAAAGCATCATGGAGCATTTTTCTGGAGGAAAACAAGTCGAACAACCCTTATGGAAACTTATATAAGGTGTACAAAAACATCAAAAGTGGATCTAAGCGGAAGAGAAATATGCAAATTTTGGAGGGTAATACTGATATGGAATGTTTGCAGAAGGGTGAGGAATTATTGAATAACTTATTTCCAGATGATAAATGTGAAGAAGATACAAACATCCATAAAAGTATAATAAATTATAATTTAAAACTACTCAATAAAGAAAAACCGATGGTTATGATTACTGAAGTTAACGACTTAATTGACAAATTAAATCCAAAGAAATCTCCCGGAATAGACAACATCTCTAACAACATGATAAGGCACACTAAACAATTTATAGCTCCTATATTGGTGAAACTATTTCAAAAATGTTTAGACCTACAATATTATCCTGCTGAATGGAAAAGAGCAGAGGCAATAATTATTCCGAAACCTGGAAAAGCAGATTTTAATAACTTTAAAAATTATAGACCTTTATGTCTTAATTCCAACATTTCTAAAATATTTGAAAAAAATAATTAATAACAGAATAATAAAATATTATGAAGATTTTAATTTACTAAGTGATCGACAACATGGCTTTAGAAGATCGAAATCTACTATTACTGCACTAACTGAAATAATAAAAATTGCGTTAGAACATAAAACAAGAGAATATGCAGCAATAATTGCAGTGGATATTAATGCAGCGTTTGATAATGCATGGTGGCCGACCTTGATGAAAAGACTAGATGAAGATGGTGTGCAGGCTTCAATGATAAAACTTCTACAATCATACTTTGATAATAGAAGAATAAGATTTAGATATTCCTCAACTGAAATTAATAAGAAACTAAGTAAAGGATGTCCACAGGGAGGACCACTGTCTCCCACATTATGGAATATTCTTATTAATGAGATACTGAATAATAATCTGGATGATAATTGTGAAACAATAGGATATGCAGATGATATTACGTTAATATGTTGGAATAAAACTCCTGAACAACTAAGAAAGACAATAGATAATGTATTAAGAAAAATCAATAAGTGGTGTGAAAGTCGTAAATTAAAATTGTCAGATGAAAAACAAAAATATTATATTTATATAAATGCAATAGCGATATAATAGTCTCAGGTAGCAAGTTAATTAAACCGGTTGAAGAACTTAAGATCCTAGGAGTGACTATTAAAAATCACCGAGTCAGAAACAAACTGGACTTTACGCCTCACGTTGGTGAAATGATCATAAAAGTAACTAGAGCTAGTGGATACCTATTTGGCCTGACAAAGAAAGCATGGGGTCTAGACTTTAGACAAAGACTGATATTGTATAAGACATTATATCGAAGTACAATTACTTATGGTTATTCAATATGGTATCCATTTATAAACAAAAAGCTTAAGGACAAACTAAATTCTCTTCAATATTGTATATTAAAACATTGTATACAGGCCTACAGTACAACATCATCGGATTGTACACATATACTTGCACAAGTCACCAAACTTACTGAATATATAGAATCTAACATGTTGAAAACCAAAATAAATTACAACCGATTTGACTCTTCAAGTAGGAATATAATTTCTAATTATATAAGGGAAAAAATGCAGAAATACTATGAGGAGACTGATACCATTTTCAAGTCCTTCTTCACTGATTCCCAAATACCCAAATATGTCAAGCCAAATTTTTACAATGTTCAATTTTTTCCTGGGCACGGTAACTTTAGATTATATTTGTACAAAGTCAGAAAGACGGATTCGCCTAAATGCTCATGTGGTGCAGAAGAAGAAAATCCTGTACATATTCTAACGGACTGTCGACTTGTAGAGGACTTGAGAGTCAAAAATCAAATAAATATAAATTGTCTAAATCAAATAGTTAATAATAGATATATGTATATATATTTTAATAGATTTTGTAGAATGTTTTTAGTAATAGATAGCCTGGGCTGTAATAACTGGTATATAGTTATATGCTGTAAATAGCTCTAAATTTCTGTTCTTATCTGTGATGTTCACTAATATTCATTATAGGGTAATTAAATCGTTAACTAACTGACAAATATGTTAATAATTTCTATTATAATAACTAAATTCATATTAATATTTACTGTAAATAAGCTCCCAAACTTGTGTATGCATGCAAATATCCAAGACGGATATCGCGTGCTTTGTAAATGATAATAAAAATTGCGACGATGATAACAAGTATTTCTATCTATAAGTTTTATTATCACTAAGTTTATTATCTTAAAGATTATTCATCAAAAGTAAGATTAGTTAGTAGTAAGTTAGTTATCGAGTATTTTTCAAGGGACCGGGAAAAATGTTCACTAGATAAAACGATGATTTTGTAATGTAGAAAATTAGGAAAGACAAAATTCAGGATGACACGGCAATTCATTTGAGACAAGAATAATGATACAATTCCAAGGCAAGATACTATTCCTTCAACTTCCAATTACCGAGGGAACCAATTAATATTGATTTTATTCAACTTATCGAGTATTTTTCAAGGGACCGGGAAAAAATGTTCACTTTATCGAGAAATTCAAATTTACGAGTTTCAAATTATCAAAATATATCTTTTTTTTTTTTTTTTTGTAAGTTCATAGAGAATTGTTTTAACAAATGTTCGTTAGAAAAACCTTTACTCGGGTAAAACCCGGGCGAAGCCGGGTACATCCGCTAGTGTATTATAAATTACTTTATATAATATTTAACGAACGAAAAATATGTCAAGGGTAGCCTAGCCTAGTGGACATGGCATCTGCCCGATAAGCGGAACACTGTGGGTTCGATTCCCATCCCTCAACACTTTATTTTTCGTTTATCATTACTCTTCACAATTCATCCTATCATACTTCATCCCTAAAGTGAAGACATTGTTTAAATATTGGATAAATTTAGCTTTAATATTTGGGTATTGGAAAAAGTTTAATAATTTTCTAATGTAATTTCCTTTAAAATTATGTTATTAGTTTTCATTTTAGTTTCAATTTTTTATTTTACCTTTAATTCGTTAAAAGTTAATGATGACCTAATAATTTAGTGAAACTAAATAAAAAACTTAATCATATTTAAAATTCAATTGCTATCTCCATTGTTAGAATTTTTAACAACATTTTTTGGAATGTGTTTATTTTCACATATCATACATTATTTTTTACAGACGGTCCTGTTTCCATAGGTTCCCATAACACCCCTAAGCTGCCTTCTATATTTGTTGTTGTTGTCGTGTCCAATGAAGAACCTCATATGTCTCCATGCATCTCTATCTCAGCAGTCGTAATGTCCTCTATCTTGGGTGTGTATACTGTATTGTTGTTGTCGTGTCCAATAAAGAGTCTTAGATGTTTCTGTACATCTCTATCACAGCAGTCGTAATTTCCTCTATCTTGGGTGTGTATACTGTATCGTTGTTGTTGTCGTGTCCAATGAAGATTCTCAGATGTCTCCGTACATCTCTATCACAGCAGTCACAATGTTCTCTATCTTGGGTGTGTATACTGTATTGTTGTTGTTGTCCTGTCCAATGAAGAGTCTCAGATGTCTCCGTACATCTCTATCACAGCAGTCGCAATGTTCTCTATCTTGGATGTGCATACTGTATTGGTGTTGTCGTGTCCAGTGAAGAGTCTCAGATGTCTCCGTACATCTCTATCACAGCAATCGCAATGTTCTCTATCTTGGGTGTGTATACTGTATTGTTGTTGTTGTCGTGTACAATGAAGAGTCTCAGATGTCTCCGTACATTTCTATCACAGCAGTCGAAACCATAGTGAATGCAGGGTATATAAAAAATAAATCCAATATAAAACTAGAGTGGTCTGGAGATTAATTTGGCGAAACCGCTGAGAGGGTTCACCACTGATGAGCTAATTCAATAAATTTTATCATTGCAAAAGATATATATAATATTTGATATGTGAAAAGAAACACATTGATAAAAATAATTATTACAAAATTTAAAATGCTCTCTAAAAACAACAGCCAAATGTTTGTAATAAAAGACACATTTGCTGTTCTACTATTCTTTTTGTTTCTAGGTCTCTCTGTTAGTGTACAAATCGATACCTAATAGAAAATTTGAAAATAGTATAAACGTTAAATTGTACTGGGATCAGGTGAATAAATTAATTGCCAAGTCCCTAGAAACTTTTATTTGCACAATCAGGAAATACCTTTTTTTTCTTAAATATAGAATGATTTATTTAAAAAAAAAAAAACAGATTAAAATTTTAAATAAGTTTAAGAGATACAATTGAAGGTTCTGCTATTTCGTAAGAATTTGTAAATGCCTCCACTTTCATTGTTAGAGGTCTAATTATATCTATGAACCGGGAAAGATCGTATAGCCACATCACATGCTATGATTCAGAAACTTGGGTCGTTTTCATGACGAGATGTGTCGGCAAGGACAGCGCCGAAGTAAAATGGACTGTCAATACAGCGACTAAGGCTTCCTATGATACTATAGCAGATACAGAATCGCCTACAGTGGTGTGTGTGAATGATGATCATGGACACATGAGTGTCGTAATTTCGTCTTTTCTAGCGAATCTCGGTCTGACTTCAACACTCATGATGGCCGTGTGCAGAGACACCGAGGAGAACGACTTATCCTTCTCATACCTACCCATCGCTTGGAGTGATGGTATAGGGTACACATCATGGTCACCTCTAATTCACAAATATGATAATTTGGACAGCCGCCGCTACATTTCTGAAGTGTTACGGCCTGTGGCTTTACCTCATCTTCGAATCCTTCTTAACATTACCCTTCAACACGACAATAAACGACATCTATAAAGCCATATGACTCCTCTCCCGTTAAAATAAACGCCGAAACTAGACGCCATATAGACGGCTGGAGGTAAAGCTCGAGAAGAAGAGATCGAAGTGAAGGAAACGACAGGGATACACAGACGATCTAAACAATGGACTGGACGACACACCTACAAGGAGATGAAGAAGATGGCGGAGGAGGTATGGAGAGACCGTGTGGTAGAGGAAGGCATTGAAGGAAGGAATAGTCAGGAGAGATGCCATATGTTTTCATAAATCAATTTCCTCTCGGCAAAATTTTCATCAATAAACGACATGTTGCTCATGCTGTCAAAAAACCTCCTCGATACATAGAGTATGTTTTCCTGGCCAGCACGTTCTACAGAATTCTCAACAATAGGAAAGATCAGGTCCATGGTTGCTGAGAGACTGGCATACCTTTCCAACCAGTTCTACAGATGAACTAGGTCTTATAAGAGTTGAAACTGTACTGACTTCTGCACCCACAACTGCCATCCGAATTACACTCATGGACAAAACTTAAGGAAGTTGTACTATTTAGCATGTATATCGGGATTCAGACAATAACTCTGAAAGATATTACAGGGCCTTTATTGAATACACACGAGATAACAAGTGTGAACAAAATTGCCTGTTTCCTAAATAAATAAAAATATGCAGGATATGCAGGATGTTCTAAAACTTCAAAACCTAATTTAATGATTATAGATACAGTTTTACATAATGTATGCGGCCTTGCATTATCATGAAGGAAGAGAACACCTTTACTAAGCTTCCCTCTTCTTTTGTTTCTTATACCGGGCTTTAGCTCATTTACAAGAATGTCACAATAAAGGTCGCTGTTCATACGTTACCTTGAGAATAAAAAATCAAGACAGATTGGTCCATCAACATCCCAAAAAATTGTTAACAAAACTTTACCGGCCGAACGTTGAGACCTGAGGAACATGTAATTCGTCCATTTTTGAACTCGTTAACCCATTTATAAATGTTTTTTTTATGAGACAAACAAGACTCACCATAGATATTTTTCATTCTTTGGCATATTTGAGATGTTTGAATACCTTCTGCATTGAAGAAACGATTAATTGCACGTTGTTCAAGCGTGGTGCAATCCTTCAAGGGAGCTTCCATTTTAGTTTATTTATAAGTCTCGCGCCGCGCGTGGGAAAAAAAGAACAGAACACCTTAAATAGTCTCTCGATTTTATATTTTAATATTCTGTGGTTTAAATTATTTTTGCTTTTTTTATTTTTAAGAAATAAGATAATTCACCTTATTTATTGATCCCCCTTTGTATATAAGGTACTAGCGGATGTACCCGGCTTCGTCCGGGTTTTACCCGAGTAAAGGTTTGTCTAACGAACATTTGTTAAAACAATTCTCTATAAACTTAAAAAAAATCTATTTATATAAAAATGAATGTATGTGTGTCTGTTTGTTTGTTTGTCCTTTATGCCTGACCAAACCACTCATTGGATCGCCATGAAACTTTGGGAAGTTATTTAGTATAGTACTGGGAAGGTTTCTAGCAAATAAAATTTTTGAAATAACTTTTCGCTTTAAAATAATCAAGATAAATATTCTAATTTATCTGTTATAATTCAACAATCTGCTCTAAATATTATCATGATGATACGATGATTTTGTAATGTAGAAAATTAGGAAAGACAAAATTCAGGATGACACGGCAATTTATTTGAGACAAGAATAATGATACAATTCCAAGGCAAGATACTATTCCTTTAACTTCCAATTGCCGAGGGAACCAATTAATATTGATTTTATTCAACTTATCGAGTATTTTTCAAGGGACCGGGAAAAATGTTCACTTTATCCAGAGATTCGTTAGAAAAACCTTTACTCGGATAATATATATATAAAAATGAATGTATGTGTGTGTGTGTGTCTGTTTGTCCTTTATGCCTGACCAAACCACTCATTGGAACGCCATGAAACTTTGGGAAGTTATTTAGTATAGTACTGGGAAGGTTTCTAGCAAATAAAATTTTCGGAATAACTTTTCGCTTTAAAATAATCAAGATAAATATTCTAATTTATCTGTTATAATTCAACAATCTGCTATAAATATTATCATGATGATACGATGATTTTGTAATGTAGAAAATTAGGAAAGACAAAATTCAGGATGACACGGCAATTCATTTGAGACAAGAATAATGATACAATTCCAAGGAAAGATACTATTCCTTTAACTTCCAATTACCGAGGGAAGCAATTAATATTGATTTTATTCAACTAATCGAGTATTTTTCAAGGGACCGGGAAAAAATGTTCACTTTATCGAGAGATTCGTTAGACAAACCTTTACTCGGGTAAAACCCGGGCGAAGCCGGGTACGTCCGCTAGTAATAAATATATTTTGATAATTTGAAACTCTTAAATTTGAATCTCTCGATAAAGTGAACATTTTTTCCCGGTCCCTGTGTGCCGTGTCATCCTGAATTTTGTCTTTCCTAATTTTCTACATTACAAAATCATCGTTTTATCTAGTGAACATTTTTCCCGGTCCCTTGAAAATACTCGATAAGTTGAATAAAATCAATATTAATTGGTTCCCTCGGTAATTGGAAGTTAAAGGAATAGTATCTTTGCCTTGGAATTGTATCATTATTCTTGTCTCAAATAAATCGTGTCATCCTGAGATAATCTTACTTTTGATAAATATTCTTTAAGATAATAAACTTAGTGATAATAAACTTGTAGATAAAAAACTTGTTATCATCGTCGCAATGGTGGCGCTGCTTGCGAGTTAAATCTACAAATCTGCAAATAACTCTAAGGATATTCAAGATATTCAAGAAATTATTTTTCAGAAGCCGTCCCAGTACTATACTAAAAAACTTCCCAAAGTTTCATGGCGTTCCAATGAGTGGTTTGGTCAGGCATAAAGGACACACACACGCATACATTCATTTTTATATATATAGATATTTAGTCTATAATTGATTATTGCAAACAATTAGGAGTACTAATTTAAGAAAAGT